CCCGCACCCGCCTCCCCGGCGCGGCCCGGCCCTCCCCCTCCCCAGCCGCCTTCATGTGCGGTGCCGCCTGCGGGTCCCGGCCCCAGCCCCGCGCCCGCCCGGCCAGGGCGCTGCGTCGGCGAGAGCCTCCCCGAAGCCTCCGTTTCCCTGGCAACCATCAGCTCACATACAAATCCTGTCTGAGAGACGAGACCAGCACAGAGCAACTCCTGTCGGGAGCAGAGCCCTGCCCGGCAGCACCGGCTGCAGCATCAGCCACTCGCCAGCGACCAGGGAGCGGCCGGACTCCCATTACCTGATCCGAACCCCCCAGACTCTCAGCCATGGCTGGCGGAATCAGCCTCAGGTGTTTTAGCTACACGCACAGCTGTGCTGGGCAGCATCCCTGAGCACGGCACACGGCAGCTCCAGGAACTACCTTGCCAGCGGGAAGAGACCCTTGCACTGAAGGTGCAGCGACTTCTCTGCTGTGCCTCCTCCCTCACGGAACATAAGTCACGGCTCCTGGAGAGCTCCACAGCAGAGCCAGCACTAAACGTTTTAATAGCAAAGCTTCTAATCTGTTATTTGCTTATTGTTAGGAGTTAATGTTCTACATAATCTGAACATTACATTTAATCTCTTGGCTAAATAAGGCAATAAAATGAGAATACTACTGTGGTGTCCAGCATTCACAGCATCTCAGAAGTCTTAGAAGGTCAAGCACACTAGCTGCAGAAAGTGGGGTAGAACTTTGAAGAGAAACCAGGATTTTCGGGTGAAGCTCCAGGAAGGGTCCCTTTACACACTGTCACACCAAAGAACTAAATTAGTCAGATACAAACAACTTGGCAAGTCCCTGCACAGCCTGTGGTTTTGCACGCACTGCTTCCCCTCCTCATCCCCAGGAGAGGGGGCAAGATACCCACTGGACCAAAGACAGATCTTGACGTGCAGAAGAAAATAAATGTGAAAAGAATGGGTATGTTCTCACTGGGTACTTTGCCAGCACCTCAGACATAGCCACGGAGGACTCCTCCACTCCAGGGATGAGACTCAGTGGTTTCTCTGGCCAACCTTAAGCAATGGATATAGGTCACGCAGCCCTAAGCAGCTGCCTTTTATAAATTAATACCCTTTATGTGTCTTGCAGGAGGATAATCACAGCCTGCCTTACATCTAGCCTGTCATTTGTTCCTGCCCTTTAAACACTCCTTCCCCACCTAGGATATTTGTGGGTGACATTATGTCAAAAGTCCTGGGGCCGTCTGTGCAGCTCTTGTTATGGAAGTGACTTTCCTGTTTATAAGTGCAAGAGAATTTGAAACATCTAGATAACCAAAGGTGTTTCACATTTATTAAGTGCCACTTTGCTTACAAAAGAGGTACGTAACATGCATTCATGTGAACTGAACACTTCTCTAGGAGCTATCTGCGTGATTGAAATAGCATGATGCATCAACACGGGCCATCAGGTTACACTGCTGCCAGCTCACACAAAGCAAATGCGTAAGACAACAAAGGTCTTGTCAAAAGTGTTTTGTCCATGAGAAATAACTCCAGAGCATTTTTATGTATAAAGAAGCATTACTATGAAACAGCACATTGGAGGATTTGCATTACCTAGACCATTGCTAAGATACTTCCCTTGGTACTCAGACCTTAGCCAGCCTCATACTCCTGTTATCAATAGGGTATCAACCTCATACTCCTGGTATCAACCCTTCATGATCTTGTTCTTCTGGCTAGATCAGGCCATTGGTTGCCTGCTATGGAGACAAGCCAATATTTGCTGTGAAGGAAAAAATAAAAAATATGCAACAGGCCAATCAGGCACTAATTCCCTAAAGGCCACTGGGGATCAGTTTCTTCCATCTAGTTCTAGCTTTGAACTCTGCACAGGGAATTGATAAGGAAAAAACCAAACACTTTCTGCAGCAAATGATCCCAGCTTCCTTTCACTGCCTTGTATTTCACATCTCAACAATTGTTAGATGATTCATGCAGGATCTGGAAATGAGAATTTAGGGCTGCAGTAAGACATTCCTTTCCTTCTGTTTCCCATTGTTTTTACATTCATTGCTACCAGGCAGAGATCACACGGTGCCATTTTCAGTTCTCATTGCTCGCTTCCTTGGGAGAATGACATGTCAGAGGTTTTAATGCTGATATATTATGCTGCTGTAGCAATACTTTGCACCTCCATAGTGTGTGCCAGAGATCAAGAAGTCTAATGTGTGAATTATCATCTTCTGTAGTTTTTTAATGGGGTAAGAAAAAAAGAGAGAGGAGTTGGTGTCCACAAACACAAGAGAGAGAGAATCCAACCTGGGGTGTGACCGCTATGCCTTCCTG